TATATATATATATATATATATTTGAATTCTCTTACAAGATTAACTAGCATGTTTTCGTTTTGTTGTGCGTGCATTCTTCTCAAAGATCTAGGTGTGGTGGATGAACTATCTTCAATATAAATGCCTTGAAGTCTTTTGATAGCATCCTTAGTCCAACACTGTAAAACAAAATGATTAGGAATTTCAACAATTTCTTTTCCTTGAAATGTCATTCATATATATTTTTACAATATTCCCATATAGTCGTAAACTTGAAAGTCACATTTATACACACATTTAACATCATAAAAATTATACATTTTGGCAGACATATTAAAATTTTCCAAAAACACTCCTTATATAAATAGAAAGATCCAACTTTTTTTTTAAAGTTGAATAAATTAAAATAGAGAACAAAACATCATGGAGGACTATAACTAAAGTAAGAGACAGAATATTATAGCTAAATCTAAATTCAGGTCGGTTCCTCAAGAAATCTTTCCTGAGCAAGATGAGAATAAAGAAAAATAGCACTAAAAATCATATTCTGTATGTAATCTAAGATTAACTAACATGTCCATATTCTGTAATCCAAGTTTAGACCCAATATTCAAAATACGATATTCTTGTCAAAATTCATAATATTCTTTTCTTTCTACCTCCAACGGGCTAATAATATCCTATTCAAATTTCGTCACAAATTCATCATGTTGGAGATAGAAAAAGCATTAATACTTTCTAATCAGTATTCATCCCAACAGAAAACAAAAAGCATTTTTTATTGTAAATAGGTACACATGATACTCTGGTCTATATAGTTCTTGAAGTCATTTATTTCCTTCTAAGTTATATTGCATCATTAAATTATTTCATTCTTCAAATATTTGAATAATAAATAGGAGGGTCTTGAATGCATCTTTCATAATGAATAAGCATATACTTATTCATTTCTTGAACTTTTATGCTTTGTTGTTTCTTTATTTTTAACAGCTATATGTATTTATTAACGAGAAGAGAAAAGATAAAACTAAACTGGAATACATATTATTGATCATACGCACATTTCTATGAAATGCTATTTCTTTTATGAGAGAAAAACTAAATACACTTTATTATTGTTAATTGATCTTATCTGTTCATTTAAAATTAAGAAAAAAAACTTAATTTAATTTCTGATTAACTAACTATTAAAGTGTATCTATACATCTATTTATCTGTATGAATAAAAAGGTGGTGATTCGAGTCCAAGAGGCAAAGATGTCCCTACTATGTAGGAATGTGAATTCAAAAAGCAGAATATCGCATTTAACATATTATTGGGTGTTGGGTTGAATGTGTGCTGTATATGGTCAAGGCTCAGTAGATTAATATGCTCAACTATGAATTACATTATTATTAACAAAGAAAAGTATTGGGATTACAACAAAAAGATAAATTGTTTGTTCTCTTTAATCAACCTCAAGAGATACCAGTTGATGATGTTTTTATCTTTATTTTGGATTATACATGTATAGATAGGTCGAATTTTAAAGATGGTGCATGTACATGCATGGATTTATACTTGTGTTACGTATTTTATTTGAAAGTGTGTTAGGTATCTTTATTGAGAACCCTTTTTGGGATAGTGTGATATTTTTTAACATAGTTTCCCAAAGATAAATGAAATTCAGGCCATAATCATTGAGGATGGCATGTATTGACATTGAAGGACATATTGTGGGTATGGGTGGTTTTGAGATAGGGACTTCCCATAAAGGCATAAATGCCATGGAAATAAAAAAGATGATGCTGAGAACAGACAGAGAGAGAGAGTTAGAGAGAGAGAGAGAGAGAGAGAGAGAGAACATAGTGGTGGGGTTCATCTCCTGAACAAACGGGTAGGATATTGATGGTCAATAAATGCTTTTCTTTCATTGTGTACTGTTTCACTTCATCTATTATTAGTAGCATTCTTCATACTCAGCAAGGAATTACAAACCCACATGCAAATAGATTGTCTTCATTAAGGTAAAGTTTACTTCCTTCTTTTTTCTCTCTTTCAATCAACATTAATAACCATATTCATAACAGCTCACTGTAGTAAAGACAAAATCTGCAATCTTACATTATGAATAGAGTAACGTTACTTCATTCAAACTTACTATGCATGACAAAATTATATGTATACTGTTTCTGCAAAGAATATTATTTTCTTCTTAAAGTTTTATTTTTTAACAAATCTTGTATATATCTCACTTGGGGAGCTGAAACTTCGATGTTGTCGTGTTCTTGTGTTGATAATTGTACACAGTATACGTGCATTATGGATACTGTAACTTCTTTTCATCAGTAAATTGAATACATGTATGAGAAATTTGTAAGCATTTGTGATTGAAGGGATGAGGTTAAGAACTGAAAAAGGAAGGAGGGTGTGGTCAAAATTAAACAAAAATTTGGCTGAAAGGTCGATTCAATGTACAGTTTATCCCTTAGAAGGAAGAGAGGGGAAGGGATGCATGTACTGTAGGAGGCATCTGTACATGTTGCCAATCAGCCCAACCAACACAACTTGGGCTCCACACCCTCACAGTTTTCAGCTCTATCTCTCACCTTTTCCCATTCCCTCTCTCTATCAACATATACCTAAAGCTGCAAATCACATTTTTTCTTTCTTTTTCAATCAAAATGCATCATTTCTCTATTCAAGTTCTGGGTTATCAGATTTCCTTCTGAAAAACCATTTACCTGATTATGGATCTATATGTTTGAGTAAACCTGATATGAAACCAGATATTAATTCAACATCATTAAAGATACTGATTTCCTAAGGATAAACATCATTAACCTGTGCTTTTTTTCTACTTTTGTTTAGAAATGCTCATTATCTTCAGAAAAATACGCTTATATGTTCAATTTTGTCTGAAAACTATTTAGCAGAAGCAATGGTAATTGGACTGTTTTTGCAAACTCAGTTTATAAACTTAAGTTTACATAATTTATAAACCGAAGATACTCTTATTGCACCAATACACATACCACACTCTTATGTGCCTCACAAACTTCAAGCTGGGACCATTATGTTTTTTTCAACCCTACCCTTAAATCTTTCGATATTATCCTTTTATAAAATTTATATCTGTTTAATTTTCCTCAAAAAGCTAATCATTTGGTTTGGGTTTTCCGAGCAAGGGTGAATCTCGAATTGGTATATGTTCTATCTATCAACAAACACATCGTCTCCTCTCCCACTATGCAAAGCAAAAGGGCATCATGCACCCCCCAACAAAAAGCTGACGTAGGTTTTTAGCTTCACGGGTTGAAAAGGCTATCCAATGACCTACAGCTACAATCATAACGATATATATGCACCACAAACTTGTATGTAGCAACTTGATCTTTTTTATTTTTGTCATCACACTCTTCAATCATGTAATGACACGTACGTACTTTATTATGTCATTAAAACGCTTTCATTAAACTTGCGTTGTTCAATTTCAAAAAACGCATTCACATGTTAGTGTGTTTAATGAAAAAATTAAACGAACAGCTTAGAAAACGTGCTACTGCTGAATTTGTAGCAGGCAATAGAGCTTCAACTCTCACCCTTGTTATCACATGATAAACTTCATCATTTATGTGTGAAATCGTGGAATAATTGGAGAACACGTACCAAGAGGATCTTGATGAGAAAGCCAGTTGTCATCAAAGGAGAGAAAACCATGAAAGGCCCCCACAGGTATTTGTCCATGCACATTCATCATTGTTCATCAAAGTTTGAACTTTGATGAGGCCTACAGCCTGTGGATTTGAGAAAAGAGGCTTTTCTTCATTTTTCACCCTTCTTCCTGTTGATTTTGACAAGCAAGAATGCAACATATATAGCTCCTTTCTCGAGCATATAAGCACATATCATAGCTCAATGTACATATAACGTTATCATACAAACGTAGAAAGCAACAGTGAACTTTGTATATACATCCAAAAGTGCATAAAACCATTGAAAATTTTCAGCATAGGTGCAATTCAAAATACAACTGAGGCTGCACAGCGTATAGGTTACTAGCTATTGAGCAATTAGCTTGAGTTCTATATGCTTTTGCAAAAAGCATATAGAATGTGGTAATCATTGTCTACAATGCCTTGATCAACGTAATGTGCAAAAGGAGAGAAATCTTACGGATGAAAACAAAGTAAATGAAGTTGGGTATACACCTGGCTTTAAAGCTTTGTAACCAGAGAGTCAATTCCATCAGAAAGGAAAGAAAACTGAAGGAGAAGAATGAAGAACAAAAGGTTTGCCTTCATCTAAACTTGGTGCTTATATATGGTTCTCAACTGGGAAGTCAAGGATATGTACTCATACCAAATTAATAGTTCACAAATTAACTAAGACTAAGAATAAGATAATTCACAAAGAGACATATATATATATATAATAGAACCAGTTCCATTTTCCTTGTGTCTTTACTGCATGAAATTAGTCATTGTCTTGTTCTACTTCAGATGCAGGCTCTTCTTCTTCTTCAAAGCCATCGATCCCATAAGCTGCATGGCCACTTCCAAAAGCTTTGATGTGATCTTTAAGAGACCTCTTGTGCTTGAAATCAGAGCCACAGATGCAGTACCAAAGCTTCCCACAGTTCTTTTCATGGGTTCTCCAATCGCCTCTCACTGCAAAAGCCTTACCACATTTTCTACACATGAAGGGCTTAATCCCATGCTTCCTCTTGTAGTGTGTTTGAAGAGTTCTGAAATCTTTAAGGGGCTTTGCTCTTGGGTGATCAATGTTGTTCCTGCATCCTGGGGAACAACAATAGCATGGAAGCCTAAGCATACCTGTTGGTTGGGTACCCCTCAGAGATTCAGGCCCTTTTCTGTACTGTGATCCATGCCCCCACATATGCATCTGACAAAAGAAACAAAAGAAAAAAAAAATTATGGATACCGCAAAAAGAAGATAACTAGGATAGAGAAAACTAGGCAAACATGATCAAAAGCTGCATTCTTTCGTTACATTTAGTGAAAAATTAAACATTAAATGAAAAATGAAAAACAAAAGCTGGTTAAACTTTACTAGTTTGAATTTTAGATTAAGCTGACTTAGAAAACACTTACATCTTTTTTTCTCTGAATATAGGCGATCATATTAATTATTTAGTTCTAGGACACTCAAATCGAATTAAAAAAAGCAAAAGGAGGTCTCATTCAGGTGAGAGAGAGAGAAGGAAGACTAATTAATAGCTATATCTGTGTGTGAGACTTTAAGGTATTGAAGGTGTTTGAATTCAGACAGAAAAGGACTGCAAAGAGAAACAAATCTAAGAGATGTATTGATATCATTATCTGAGAGATCTGGAAGAAACACTGCAAATTTTCAGTTCTATTCGCAGCTGCATGCCAAAGATATACCAAGGCATGCCAAACACATACTAAGCACACACTTCAATGCACCAAGACATAAAGAACATTGGCCGAGTAGTTTAATCAACGAAAAGGATATGGCATATCTGATCTCAGTCACAGTTTGAACCAGGAAAATATTAATAATACATCAGTACCGTTCCACCGTGCAGGAAAACAAAAAAGCTGAAAGTAATTTTTATCATAATGATGACACAAGTACAATTTAAAAAAAAATGAACCTCGAGGGAAAAGAAAGAGATGAAAAATGGAAGGAGAAGAAGAAAGATAAAGGAAAAAAGAAAGAAAGAAAAGGAAGGTGTTTTCCTATCAGTCCTATATATCCAAATTAACAAATTCATGGTGTTGTGTGTATGTGGTCTTTCTCATACGAATTGGAAGAAAAAAAAATGGTAGAAATAGAAGTAGGGTGTTCATTCTTTAACATCTGTTATGATAAAATGATTTGTTATGTTATTACTGACCTGCATGTTGTTGTATCTGTTGAAGGTTTTGCAACAAACAGGACAAGAGAACTGTGTAGGTCCAATGAGAATCTGAGAAGGGGTAGGAATCCAGTACTGTCCCTTGTTGAGCCTGTTCGACAAGAACCCTGAAGAAGAATCATCAATCCCATTATTATCACAATCTCCTCCTCCTCCTTGTCGTTGCTCTTTGTCTGTGGCACAAGCCGAAGACAGCACAGAAGCAATCTCAGCAGCGCTAGGGCTTGGCAACCCTATGTGCAGTGCAACAGTGACACTGTGATGAACATCATCTTCTTGGTCCTCTTCTTTGGGGTTATGGAGGGTCCTGTTGAAGTTGTCTTCGACATCCATGGCAGTGCAAAGCTGATCTTGATCCTGATCCTGGTAGTGCTCCTCCCGTTGGTCATAATTTTTTGGGCTGAGGGTGAGAAGAGGAAGGGCCTCTCTCAAGGGAGGAGAAGGGGGTGAAGAAGAAGAAAAAGAGGTGGTGGTAGTGGTTTGAAAGTGGTGGTGATGTTGGAAGTGGAAAAAGGTGTTGTGGGTGATGTTGGTGGTGGTGGTTTGGTTGATGAAGTTGTGAGGATATGGATGATGGTGGTGGGTGGAAGGGTTTGGAGAAGGGTAGTGGAAGAAAGGTGGTGAGAAGAAATTGGAGTAAGGGTCTGCCATGGTGGATGGAAAAAGGTTTGTGTTTGAGGAGAGAGTGGGAACAGTAGAAGGCTATGTAGGTTTGCTTTTATATACAGATACATACAGAAAGTACAAGATGGCTGAAGGAAGTGGATGGTGGAGAGAGAGAAAGAGATATATGGGGAAAACAAAACAAGTAAAGTCAAGTGGAGGAGAAAATTAACTCACCAAATTATCAACAAAATAATTATTCTTAATCACATTTTCATATTTATTCTTTATTTTTTTATTTTTTTTATTCTAATCTTCTTTTGACAAAGAATACCGTTAGTGGCAGTTTATGGTTATGGAAAATTATTCAATTAAGTTCAAGTTATTTTTTACTGATTTACGTCAAAACTGTGATCAAGGTTGTGCAGTGATCCTCTCAGCTTTTGGATTTCTCTTCCTCGGACGACTTTAGCCAAACTTATATAATAAGTTCTGATCATAAATATTTTTTCTTTTTCAAGAAAATGCTATATGATGGAGGATCATATCGTAATTTGCAAAGTGGTAAATAATAAAAGTAAAAATTCCCACACATTAAGTAAAATTGGTAATGTATGAGTAAAGTGGGATAATTAAGCATAATATACCAAAATTTTGTATTATATATATGCAGTCAAATTTATCTGTGCATTTTAGGTCATGTCGTGGTGATTTCATAGAACTCATAATAATTCAATCTTTAAAAAGCCATGGTTAAAGACAAAGAATATTTATAAATTACTTTTACGTATGATTTTTATAACTAATGCAATGATAAAGTTATCTTGTCTGTTAAATAGGAGACAAATCACTAAGGAAATGTTTTTTCAGAAATCATTCTAGCAAATCATACTAAAATCTATTTGATTAACTTATAATACTTTTTTGAATTTTCATATATATTTTTTTTCAAAAGACCTTTTGAATAAACCAAGTTCATTATTAAATCTTATTTATCTAACATACAATAACTATCACTACCATTAGATGGATACATTTATCATTTGAGTTTTGTGATTTTGATTTTGTCTAACCTCTCTTTTCTTTAAATATATATAGAGAGAAAAGAAGTGTAATACTGTACTTTTATTGTTCGTATAAGTTATATAAATAATTCCCATTTCTAGTTTGTATTTTTGCTATTCATCAGTTGTATTTGAACTTGTACTCTTAGAGTAATGTTCGAAGGAGAGAAAATAACAAAGAATAGAAGAACAAATATAGAAATTTTTCTATAAATATATCGTTTTAGTATATCTAAAAGTATTTATTGAGCATATAAGTAAATTGTTTATAATAATTGTAATGTTATATATTTTTAACAAAGAACAATGGATAATCAACAATAATAGAATTAAATTGTTTACTACAAATAAACAGAGAGATTTTTATAAAATTGATATAATAACTTATTAGCTCATAGGTTATCTAGTCTTATGATGGTAAAAGAGGATCATTGGTTTTGGCACATAAGGTGTAGACATGCTAGTTTTAAATTATTTTCAAAGATGCATATAATTAATTTTGTAAGATGTCATTTAAAGATGAACTTCTTTGTCAGATATTTGTAAAACACAAGCAAAAGTAAAGAGTTCTTATAAAATAAAATAAAAAATGATATTTCAACTCAAAGACATCTTAGGCTAATACACTTTGGACTTTTGTGAACTTGTAAGAATTTAGTCTTTAAATGATAAAGATATAATACTGACAAATATGAACATTGGTTAAGTTCTTGAACTACTAGATAAATCTTTCAAGTCTTTTGAAAATTTAAAAAAAAACATTCAAAATGAAAAAGGTTTATTCTTGGGATGAATTTCAAATGAAAATTCTCTTAGAATTTTTTTAAAACCATGGAATCATCCATCATTTTTCTACTTTCAATTCACAAACTGACCTAGGATTTAATTGAAACAAAAAGTTAAGTAGAGAGTGACTTAAACTTTGTAACTAAACTGGGAATTAAATGAGTAATTAAGTTTTGATTTTTAATTTGCAATCATAAATAGCAAAATTGAAATTAAAGAAGGAAATATTTTATTAACTTATGTATAAAAATTTTATTTGTGGCTTATTTTTTTCTAAAAATCAAAATTGTTTATGGAGTATGGTTTTTTTTTTTTAATTAATGAAATCTCACTTTTCATTCTTTAATTATATTTTTAGCATTATATGAACCATTGGTGGAGAATGAAGGATAATTAAGATATTCATGACTTATAATAATGCATGTAGAGATAACAAATAAACTCATTTGGTGGGTATTGCCGCAATCTGTTTTCCTTTCACAAGAATTCTTACATTGATGGGTATGATAGGTGTATGTGTAATATTCAATTTTTTTAATTGAATATGAGATAGAAATAAATATGTAAATATTTGTCCATTTTCTTCCTGTCCTCATATATCTTTTAGTACCTATCTTCTTTCTCATATTTTATATATGGTCATTTAAAGTATTCATAGTTTATTTATTTTTTGTCTTAGTTGTTAATTTCATAATCTTTATTCTTTTCTTTTCTTTTTGTACACATTTTTTCTCTTATCTTTCAAATGTTGACTTGTTATATATATATATATATATATATATATATATAAAAGTACTTTTACTCTTATCATAACCTTATTACAAACTGTGTATTATTAATTTCAATAAATCAAATAATTTTTAGGTCTCACATATTTAATTATTTATACTTCTTTTTAATATTTTTATTTATTATTTAAGTTTTTCACATGAGAATATTATACTCTTAATTTTAAGTATTAAATCGTATAAACCTTTTATTTATTAAGTAATATAAAAAACTATCATCTTTATTAGTTTTTGTTCTTAATTTTTATTTTATTTGAAACACTTTTGTTTTGCTAAAACAAATTCCATTTATCTCTTAACAATTCAATATCTAGAAAATTTTCTCATGCATCAAATTATTTTTAAGACACATTATTATTTTTATTTCTTATGTATTTTATCATGTAAAATATTATTTTGATAATTTTTATATAATTTTTATATAATTTTTATATTATCCAACTTATTCTTGTAAGTGTAATTTTAACAATACAATTGTATAAAAATATTTTATCTAATGTCATTGTTATGAATTTTAAATCCAACATAAATTAAAGTTTAAAGAATGAAAGAAATATGTGTAATTTTAAATTATTATTAGTTTAATATATTTATTTACTAGTGCATTATAATCTTTATTAATATAACTTAGAGAAATAAATACATTTCAAATATTTTAAACTTAAATATTTATTATTGTTTTATAATTTCTTAAAAATATTTTTTAACTTTATTTTTTTATTGTTATAAAATTTTATTTATATATAACTATGTAGTATTTTATATAATTATGTACAAAGTAATTTCACGTCATTTACTAATGTGGTTTCCAATAAGGAAAAACATCAAATATTATTGTAGGCTAATTAATCATTAATTTGGAACAAAAATATGGCTCCGATATTTGTTGTAAACCAATCACTGAACAGATAAGTGAGAAAATTACACTAACTTGTCATCCTTAAATCGTTTAACAACTCCAGTTTCCATTGGTACATGATGATTTTTGTAGCATCTTTTTTTCACAATATCATCCATTCTAAATCAGATTAGAAAATTACAAATACCTTATTAACAGGGAGAGAGTTGGTGATATTAATCCAAAAATAAATAATATTTTGGAAGCCCTTGCGTGTTTTCTGACAAAAAAAAAAAGTGTGACACTTTTGTCTGTATTATATTCTGAGATGAGATGTTACATAAACATTCGAAAGAATAGAACATTTGACTCTGAGGACACATTAATTAAGTTTGGATTTGTGATGATGAAACAAGTAATTAAATATTTAAAGACAGTAGTGCACGCATCCCATGATAGACAAGAGGCATAAAAGATAGAATCTGTTTGTGACAGCCACCATATGATAGATTTATATAATAATACAATAATTAATAAAAATATATATATTGTAAATTTATAGGATACCTGCAGAGACAAGAAGCAACCAGAGTCCCGATATGCCCCCAACATTTTTATTGGTGTTTACACTCTGGTCGGCTAAACCTACTGTCACTCACCTTATTATGCATATTACTAATTCTTCATTTTTCTTTATACCAAAACCATCTCTATGGAATCACAATGGTTAAAATTGCATATAATAAAAAGATAAAAAGAATGATATATAGTTTGCATGGTAGTGTAACAGTGTTTTGAGCATTTATTTGTTGAAATAGTGGTTGTATTATTCCTGAGAGAGAAACAGTGAAAGTAGAAAGAGTGAGGTTTAGCTGTGAATGTTGAGAGGCATATAATGAAATGCATTCTGTTCATGAATTGAGAAAGGTGTCAAGAGAGTGTGTTCAGTGTCAGAACAGTGCAACTTCTCTAAATTCAAACCCATCACACAAGAATGAGAACAAGAGCCAAACAAAAAAGGTTACCAACCTATATTTATTAATTAATTATCATCACATTATTTTTATATATTCAGAAATTAAATAACACAGAGATTGCCAGCATTGCCACCGTAGGAAAGAGTACAGATGTTTGGTTGTAGCTATAGCTAGGGACACATGGTGTGTCTCGCTGTGAAATTGGCTATACAGATCATAATCTATCACCTACCTATACACAGTTAATTAATACTGTTATTATTCACACAAGTCTGTTATATATACAACTTTTATTACCAGGTTTTTTCTAATATGTTGTCCTTTATTAATTAAAACTTATTAAATTTTACTAAATTATAAGAATCGTCATATAAGATGTGAGACTGATTTTAATAAATTTTGTCCAACAGTAAAGAATGTGACTGAAAGCTATGTTTTAAAAACCATATTATTCAAAGATTCAGTTAGAATACATAGTTAAAAATTAAAAATATCTATTCGCACTTTTAATATGTGCAGTTTTCAATGGAAGAGGTGCATATTGAATATATAAGATTAAATAATAATATATAAGTAATATCTAAGCACGTGGAAATTTTATTGTACATATAATAAGAAAAAAAATGATTTGAATGTGTTTCATCGTGTATATAAGTATGGTTTAAATAAAGAATGTAACTATTAACATAGTTACATAATATTTAATAATTTAATTATAGAGATTTAGTTAA